GACAGCTCCCGTCCAGAGTTCCACGCAGACAGCTGACAGCTCCCGTCCAGAGTTCCACGCAGACAGCTGACAGCTCCCGTCCAGAGTTCCACGCAGACAGCTGACAGCTCCCGTCCAGAGTTCCATGCAGACAGCTGACAGCTCCCGTCCAGAGTTCCATGCAGACAGCTGACAGCTCTGGTGACAGATGAGGGGAGAGCCTCCTGCTCAGCCTTTGGCTGGGGGAGGGAATCCGGAACATTCCCCGCCTGCTTACTCCAAATGTGGCTCACTGACGGGCAGGTTTTACAGAGGCTGTTGTTTGAGTTGAGCCTTGTGGACCGAGGTTATGTGGAGTTTCACCACTGGGTTTGCTTGTACATTTTCTAGTACTTTCGATGATTGAAATTAAGCAAAGGGTCAATCTGAACAGTGTGAGTCACCACAGAGAAAGCCCTGGAGCCTTAGCTGCAGTAAAGCACGAATGGCCGGAATGTAACAGATCCTATCAGGCTGCGGGTGCTGGGCGAGAGGGGAAGAGGTCAGAGGGAAGGCAGGTGAATGAGGAGTAGACAGTGTGCGTGCAGGTGTGAACCCGCCACGGTGCGGCACCGTGGGGGGACGGGAGTCGGAGGAGCCCCTGTGTGTGTGTGGGCGTGCTGGGAGGAACACGCTTGTCCACTAGTCTATGCTGGTAAAAATGCAGTGGAAGGACGATGGACGGGCACTGGTCAGAAAGACTGACAGGCAGAACTGAAACCTCTCTGAACAGCTCGTTAACGTTGATGGGGAGAAGGCCGCTGCGGGTTGTGGTTTGTGGGCCAGTCCTGGCGGGGTCTGGCCTCCTGTCCCGGTGCACCACGCTAGTATCGGGTAAGTGGTCAGCGTCCGTACAGGGGGTTCAGCAACTGCAGCACACAGGAGGTGGGCTTTGTGCTTCTTGTTTTGCTGGCAAACCCAGCGTTTGTCTGAGAAAATTCTGGACACACAGAGCTGGATATCGGGAAGATTTTTCTTGCAGACAACCAGTGACAAACGTTTCTGGGTAGATGGCGAGGTCAGGACCGCCCTGTGCCGGGGGGGGGGGGGGCGTGCGCTGGACTAACAGGGGCTGTGGTCCTCCCGTGTCTGAGCTGGACTAACGGGGGGCTGTGGTCCTCCCCTGCGTCTGTGCTGCACTAACGGGGGGGCTGTGGTCCTCCCTGTGTCTGTGTTGCACTAACGGGGGGCTGTGGTCCTCCCCTGCGTCTGTGCTGGACTAACGGGGGGCTGTGGTCCTCCCCTGTGTCTGTGCTGGACTAACGGGGGGCTGTGGTCCTCCCCTGCGTCTGTGCTGGACTAATGGGGGCTGTGGTCCTCCCCTGTGTCTGAGCTGGACTAACGGGGGGCTGTGGTCCTCCCCTGCGTCTGAGCTGGACCAACGGGGGGCTGTGGTCCTCCCCTGTGTCTGTGCTGGTCTAACGGGGGGCTGCACTCCTCCCCTGTGTCTGAGCTGGACTAACGGGGGGCTGTGGCCTCCCCTGTGTCTGTGCTGGTCTAACGGGGGGCTGTGGTCCTCCCCTGCGTCTGTGCTGGTCTAACGGGGGGCTGTGGTCCTCCCCTGTGTCTGTGCTGGTCTAACGGGGGGCTGCACTCCTCCCCTGTGTCTGAGCTGGACTAACGGGGGGCTGTGGTCCTCCCTGTGTCTGTGCTGGTCTAACGGGGGGCTGTGGTCCTCCCCTGCGTCTGTTCTGGTCTAACGGGGGGCTGTGGTCCTCCCCTGAGTCTGAGCTGGACTAACAGGGCTGTGGTCCTCCCATGTCTGCACTGGACTAACGGGGGGCTGTGGTCCTCCCCTGCGTCTGAGCTGGACTAACGGGGCTGTGGTCCTCCCCTGCATCAGCTCACTTGCTCTGTGTGGTCTTTGCAAAGAAAACCCCAGGCCCTTCGTGGGTCTCCTCTCTGGAAGACACAGGAACGGCAGGGCGGAGGGCGGAGGCAGACGGCCCGTGGGGGAAGATGGCGGTCAGTTCCCCCGTGAAGGAAGCGTGGCAGGGTCTGAGGGCGCGGTGCTGCTCTGCTGTCGTGGACCGCCCCCCCCAGCAGACCCCCTCCCCGGCCGGAAGCCCTGGCCTGGGGAAGCTTCCAGAAGCACCTCAGGAGACTGATGGGTCTGACTGGGCTGTTTGCCTTAAAATTTGACAGAGCTCCTACTTGGTCATCTCCGCAGTTTAGAATATGCTGGAATTTTGCTGAACGTCGGTAGATAGGGTCTCATCAATTAGCAGTCGCCTTTGGAACACAGCTGCTCCTCATCATACTGGAGCTTTGTGAGACCCGAATAGACAGCCAGAGCCCGAGGGCCGCTCCCATCCTCTGTGCAGCGGGCTGCAGGCTGGGCCTGGGCAGGCTGGGGGCGGGAATCCCCGCAGGCTGGGGGCCGCTCCACGCTGGGGGCGGGAATCCCCGCAGGCTGGGGGCCGCTCCACGCTGGGGGCGGGAATCCAGCAGGCCTGAGGGCCGCTCCACGCTGGGGGCGGGGATCCCAGCAGGCCTGAGGGCCGAGCGCAGTGGGACCGGGGACAGGGGACCGGGGGAGGTCCCATCCCCCACCCCATGCCCAGACTCTGGACACCCACTCAGCTCCCACTCAGGTCATCCAGGAAGAATGACCGGAAAACCCAGGCCAGCCCGTGGCCAGCGACGCACCATCACACACACAGGTCCTGGCAGACCCAAGCTCAACCCCGAGGCCCGATTAAGACTCAGAACAGAGGAGGCAGGGATACCAGATACCAGAAATGACAGATCAGCCGAGGGGGGCTCCGGATGAGTCCTGGGCTCTGTCAGGCTCTGTCTGTACAGAAAGGCAGACATGCACATCGCTTCACGGACAGCTTCCTCCCGACTCTTGAATGTACCCCGCGCGTGCGTGGAGCTGAGCTCCCTGGGAGAAGCCTTGCTGCCGTCCTGCAGGTACGGGCCGTGCGCCGTGCTCCCCTGCCCGGCCCCAGTAACGGCAAGCCCTGCTTCGTCTCTCCCCAGGAGCTGGAGTTCCAGGACCCGACGGCAGTCCTGCACTGCATCCACTCCTTCCTGGCCGCCAAGGTGGCGTCCTTGGACCCGGTGTTCATGGACAGCCAGAGCGTCGCTCGAAGATTCGCCTACAGCAGCTGAGTGCCGCCGACGCACTGTTTACTTAAGAAATGACTCTTCCCTGCACCGTATGGCAACGTTGTGTGGTTTTATAGGGAGCCTCTAGTTGTTACACCAATAAAGACATCACTAGTTTCACAGATGGCCTTGTTGATTCTGATGGGGGCAGGTGCACCCCGAACCCCTGCGGTGGGGGGACACTCCACTGCCATGCTGGCCACAGGCAGCGTTTGTGTATCGCCAGACATGTAGCGGGTTCCTGGGTCGCTGAGAGCACACCTCCGCTGCGTCCTGGAGAGGAGAAAGGCCCCACGCCCGGCGCCCGAGGTCAGGCAGAGGGGCTGGGACCGGGAAGAGGAGACCCACTTCTCCTCTCGGTACCTGCGTGTTCATCCTTTCCTACGGAGTCCTGCCACTTAAATGTGAATCCTATTTTTAACCAGTTCATCAAATACAGCTCTTCCTTTGATTTCCTTCATTCCCACGTCGTATAGGATTTCTAAGCTCAGATGGATTCTGTTTTTGCTATTAAAGATCATTTATTGGAGTTCTTGAATTTTCTTTAGAAACACAGCTGTGGTTAGGAAAACCCAAGACTGTGTGCTCACGATCTGAAGACAGAGGGACGGGAAGCCTGAGGATGCCCTGCAGCGCGGGGTGCGTCTGGCGGGGGCTGCTGCTCCTCCTGGGTCAGAGGG